GACCTCAAAGCACGCTAATCTCTAGGCTGTCCAGAGACTCACGGGATTTAAATTAATGGCTGAGCAAGAATAAGATGGAAGATCTATAGCCTTATGCCACAGAATACAGAGAACCAGTAGCCAATCTTTGGAGCCTGCTGCGTGGTCAAGCTCTTCATTCATGTGTTAAGTAAAACCAAATAAACAAAGGAAAAGTTGCAAATCCCACATATCATGGTTCCATTTATAAGAAAAATAACGTGTATATGTCTCAGTGTTGGTTTTGTCCACCAACTATCTGTTTCTTTGGGTGTTAATGTGTTTTTCATTTGGATGCTAGCTTTCGTGCTTGGTTTTCCTCAAACACCTGGTAATCTATGTTTCCTTCTTTAAGGAATGGATAGCATATGCCTGTTTAGACCTGAAGAATGCACTCAAGTTAGAAATCAACAACTCTATGCCTCTAAAATACGGCATTTGGGCAAGTAGACCTTCTGAAAAGTGATTAGAAAGCTGGGGAAAGTATGTGAACTTGCACTTTCTACTGAGTCACACACTGGAAGGAATGTTTTCAGGTTCCCCATTACATGTCGGGCAACTGATTAAGCTAATAGCCATTTTTTTAAATGGACATTGTGTAAACTGATAGATGTCCACTAAAGGGCAATAACTGAGAAACTGTAATTTGTGAGTATTTTTTAAAATATATAAAACAGAGAAAATCAAATTACATTAACTACCAAGCAATGGAATGATGAGTTGAAAATCCCATTGTGTCAAGCATAACCATCGCTAATCTCACCACTGGTCTGGTCACATATCCCTTCATGGAGCGAGGTTCACATTCCACTTTTAAGCCTGTCCTTCTCATTGCCTTTCCCCTACCTCTTTACTCCTCCTTCCTCTCCAGTCCTCCTCCCCACAGTGAGGAGTGAGCAGATGTTCACCTGATGACTGAGATTAAGCTCATATATAACCAAGACATGGCTGATGTAGAATTAGGGCTTATGACATTCAGTGTAGCTAGTTTGAGCAAATGATAAACGTTGCCATCTTAGATGCTTGAGCCAGGCACAATAAACAAATTAGGGAGTCAAATTAACCCCCTTTTTAAAGAGTCTTCAGCATGTTACTATTAAAGATTATGTAAAGGTCTATGACTAGAAAACAGTTACCAGGGGTGGAAAATTTGAAACTAACCAAAGGATCTAACAGCATGAAAGAGTGTCCATCAAAACCCGTATCTGCTAAGGATAAATGCTGCACGGACTTGAGCGGTGTTCAGTAATGCAGGCCAACCTTGGAGACATTGCAAGGACAGTTCCAGACCACTACAGTAAAGCAAATCTCACAATAAAGTGAGTCGCAGGACTGTTTTGGTTTCCCAGTGCATATAAAATTAAATTTACACTATCTGTAGTCTATTAAGTGTGCAGTAACATTATGTCTAAGAAAACAATGGGCACACTTAATTAAAAATTCTTAAAATGCTAAACATTACCTGAACTGTCAGAGAGTAGTAATCTTTTTCTGGTGGAGAGACTTGCCTCAGTGTTGATGGCTGCTGACTGATCAGGGTTGTTGAAGTTGGGGGTGGCTGTGACAGTATCTTGAAATAAGACAACAATGATGTTCACTGTATTGATTGACTCTTTCTTTCATGGATGAGTTCTCTGTAGCATGCAATGCTCTTGATAGCATTTTACCCACAGTACTTCTTTCAAAATGGGAGTCAATCCTCTTAAAATTTGCTATTGCTTTGTCAACTAAGTATATGTAATATTCTAAGTCCTCTTTTGTTATTTCAACAATCTTCACAGCATCTTCACCAGGAGTAGATTCCATCTCAAGAAACCATTTTCTTTGCTCATCCATAAGAAGCAACTCCTCATCTGTTAAAGCTTTATCATGAGATTTGCAGCTAGTCAGTTACATCTTCAGGCTCCGCTTCTAATTCTAGTTCTCTTGCTATTTCTATCACATCTGTAATAACTCCCTCCACTGAAGTTTAGAACTCCTCAAAGTCATCCATGAGAATTAGAATTAACTTCTTCCAAACTCCTGTTAATGTTGGAATTTTGACTTCTTCCTTTGAATCACGAATGTTCTTAATGGCAAATAGAATGGTAAATATTTCCAGACTGTTTTAATTTACTTTGCCCAGAGCCATCAGATGAATCAGCACCTACAGCCTTATGCTCATCCATGAAAGAAAGAGTCAATCAGTACAGTGAACATCACTGTTGTCTTATTTTAAGCTACTGTCACAGCCACCCCCAACTTCAACAACCTACAGCACCTACAGCAGCTATAGCCTTATGAAACGTATCTCTGAAATAATGGCCTTGAAAGTCAAACTTACTCCTTGGTCCAGGGGATGCAAAATAGATGTTATGTTAGCAGGCATGAAAACATTATTAATCTCATTGTATACTTCCATTAGAATTCTTGGGTTACCAGGTACTTTATCCATGAGCTGTCATCTTTTGAAAAGATTCTCTTTTTTCTGAGTATTAGATCTCAACAGTGGGCTTAAAATATTCAGTAAGCCATGTTGTGAACAGATGAGCTGTCATCCATGCCTCATTCCATTTATAGAGCACAGGCAGAGAAGACTTAGCATCATTCTTAAGGGCCCTAGGATTTTCAGAATGGTGAATGAGCATTGGCTTCAACTTAAAGTCATCAGCTACATTAGCCCCTAACAATAGAGACAGCCTGTTCTTTGAAGCTTTGAAACCAGGCATTGACTTCTCCTCTCTAGCTATGAAAATACAAGATGGCGTCTTCTTGTGATAGAAGACTTGTTTCATCTGCAGTGAAAATCTGTTGTTTAGTGTAGCCACTTTCATGAATTATCTAGATCTGATTAATTTGCTGTAGCTCCTACATCAGCATTTGCTGCTTCACCTTGCACTTTGATGTTACAGAGATGGCTTCTTTCCTGAAATCTCATGGCCCAACCTCTGGTAGCTTCAAACTTTTCTTCTGCAGCTTCCTTATCTCTCTCAGCCTACACAGAATTGAATAGAGGTTAGCACCTTGCACTAGGTTAGGCTTTGGGTTAAGGGAATGTTGTGACTTGTTGATCTTCTATCCAGACCACTCCAGCTTTCTCTGTATCAGCAATAAGTCTGTTTGGCTTTGTAAAAATCATTTGTGTGTTCGCTGCAGTAGCACTTTTAATTTCTTTCATGAGCTTTTCCTTTGCAATTACAACTCATTAATGTTTGGTGAGAGAGCCCTAGATTGTTGCCTATATTTGCTTTCAGCATGCCTTCCTTGGTAAGTTTACCTATTTCTAGCTTTTGATTTTAAGTCAGAGGCATCAGACGCTTCTTTCACTCATTGTCTTTGTCTGGTTATTACTGGCCTAACTTTAATCCACTTTTGTCTCAGGAAATAGGAAGTCCTGAGCAGAGGGAGAGAGAGACGGGGGATGTCTGGATGGTGGAATAGTCAGAACATGCATTTATTAAGTTTGCTGTCTTATATGGGTGAGATTCATGGTGTCCCCAAACAACCACAATTGTAATATCAAAGATCACCAATCGCAGATCACCATAGCAAATGCAACAGCAGTAAAAAGTTTGAAATATTGTTAGAATTATTAAACTGTGACACAGAGACATGAAGTGAGCAAATGCTGTTGGAAAAATGGTGCTGGTCGACTTGCTCCATGTAAGATTGCTGCAAACTTTCAATCTAAAAAAAATGGAATATCTGTGAAGCACAATAAAGTGATGCCAAGTGAAACAAGATGTGCCTATATTATTATTATTAAAATCTAAAAATGGCATTGCATGCTTATATTTTGACTGCTTTTTGTTGAACATTGAGGTAAAGAAGTGGGCTCCGTCTGCCCATTATCAGTGATAAGTCATCCACTGGGAATTCCATATGTTTTGATGGCATTGGTGCTACTTGTACTAAGAGGGACCTCAGAATTCTTTCAGTAGTAATGAGGAATCCACCACTAAAGCAGGTTCTAGTTTGTTTTTCAACAACCCACGTTTATGAACTTTCAAACATGTTGTTTTGTTCTAACATATAACATCTCCTATTAGTCTCAAGACCACCCAAAATCAACAAATATATATTAAATATTCATGAAGTTCCTACTAAGAGGCAGGTCATTTCATAATAACTTTTCAAACTTTCACTTCTTTCTTTCTGTTTTCATCTGTCACATCCTTTCCTCTCTTGTGTTTGTTTCTGTCCTTCCTTTCCTTTCTGAATCATATGAGCTTTCACGATCATGTATTATTTGAAAAGGGACTGTAAACATGGGTACATCTTATGTGACATCCTATATAATTCAGGTATCTCTATACTTATCTATATAGCTAGCCTAGAAACATTTACTAAATAAAGATTAGGAGTAGAAAAATAATAGGAGGAAACTCTGTGTATTGCATCCAATTCCCTCATTTTACAGGTGAAGAAACTGAGACACAAAGAGGTGACTCGACTTACCTTGATCCCATTGCAAGGAGAAAAGGCAGTAAAAACACTCAGGTCTTCTGTCCTATCCAGGGATTTTCAGTATAGTTTAGAGTTTTCCCAATTATAGCCCAAAATTATATACCAAAAATTTATGTGTGTGTGTGCATGGTTATATGTCATTTGAAAGTCATTTGAAAGTTGCTAAAAATGCATTTCACCCATGCAGAAATGGTGGTGATGGCAGTATCAATGTGCCTATGGAACGATGTAATGTGACCTTGAGACCTTTTTGTTTTGTGTGCCTACAACAATTGACCTCAAAATAGCTATGACTTCCCAGGCCCTCTCCCACCCCCTTAAAACCTTTTTTTTTTCCTTTTAGGAAAATTTGTCTTTTCTTTCTCTAGCAGAGACACATGGCTTGAGATTGACAAGTAGCCTCTTTACAGATGTCAATTCCCAGGAATCAGCAGCTCTTCCACATTGCTTCCAATTATGCTTCACAGCACCTTTGTAAAAAATCTGTTGACAACCTAGTTCAACTTGTCACATGTGAATTATATTTTTCTTGCCAGGTCTTCCCTCCCCAGCAACAAATACTATGTGAAAACAAGCTACATGGCCATGACGGTGAATTAGAGATTTAAGAGAACCCATCATAAGTAATTCAAAATCACTCTGGGATGAATCAAAGCTATTATGGAGATATTGCTGATTGCATTCATTGGCACCCAGTGATAGGGAGTGTCATTGAACGTGATGGTTCTGAATGCCACAGTTACGAGAAATCTGCGCTTACCCATTAATTTATACAGCTGTCAGGAATCACATCTCTGGATGCTGAAGGAACCTGCCAATGTGATATCTGAGCAACTGTCATTGCACATGGAGAATCCTAAAGGAAGAGAGAAGAGCCAGGAGCTATAAAGGTGAGAAACTGTCTCCAATTGTTAAAGGGAAGAACATAATTCATATTAGATATTACAGGTTTTTTGCACCATCTAAAGTAGGCAATTAAGTAGATGTTGTATTTAAATGCTTAGCATATGCGATGCCTCTAATTATGTACTTGAGAAATACCCAATAACTGAATGGATGCCGATTGAGTGGAATTAATGATCACTGCAGGACTGAATGGACCATTGAAGGGCAAGTCTTGCCAAACTCCAGTGCCCTGTTTGGATAGAGTAAGTAAATATTTTATCACAGAGCTAACATAATGAAATGAAAGCCGGGTATTATTTTTATTTTATTTGAAGGTGATTTGACAATCCTTTAATCATAAATAGACAAGAGTGTTTTAGGGGAAAAATTCAGACATCATCCTTGGCTTTGTTCCCTTGAGAATTTAATACGATTTGAATGAAGGCATGAAAGATCTATTTAGTGAATTCAGGATGAGTCTAAGCTCTGTATTTACCAGAATGTAAACTCCACGAAGACAGGGAGTTCTGCTTCCCTGATTCGCTGTTTTATTTTCAACATCCGTTTCCCTGACACACATGCTCAATATAACTTTGTTGAACTATGCACAAAGCTAGGGAAAAGGGAATACACAGAAATGAGTTTCACCAGCTCTGCAGGAACTCCAGTCCTCCTAGTGTCTCTCATCTGACCTTAGTGTATCCAAGAGTTAGTTCATGTTTAACCCCAAGGAGTCTTGCCTGTCCATGATTTTTATTCTTCCCTATTCTGTTCAGCTGTGACTTTGTCAAAGTAAATGCCTATCAAAGGTGCCACTTGCCGGCTCTATTGATGATTCCTAGGCAGAAATTGTCGGTCCTGGAGGCCAGAAAGAGAAAAAAAAAGAAAGAAAAGGAGAAGAAAGATGTTCCTGCAACCACCAAGATGCATGGAGAACCTGTTCTTACGGGATTTCAAAATGCTCAGGTCTGAGAGCGCTACATGTCTGGCCTGGGTCCTAAGTCTCCAAAGTGGAGGTTACTTCCTGGCAGTTCAATAAAGAAGTTTGAGGAGATAATTTAGTATAAACGTAGATATTAAGGGTCATAATACTACTCCTGTTGCTAACATTTCTACCTTCAGTGTGGCTTTGTTGTTATATATGCTTGTGTCAATATTTTATTTTTCATTGCTGTGCAGCAGAGTTAACTCAGCATGTGCAAGGCTCCTGTCTTTAGAAAGGCTTCCTTTCAGGGCTGGTTGACTGGCACCTGGGAATCTAGATTTCTTACCATCCTCAGAACTGGTAAATGTAGCTCATCTTGACTGAAATGTTTGTATAAGTCTTATGATTTATTCTACATACCTGCTTTCCCTTTGGGGTTCTAGAATTTTGATACACTGTGAAGCAGAGGGTGACTGCATGACCAGTGACTAATAACCCTGGTGATGAGTCTGCAATGAGCTCCCCTGGTCGACAGCATCTCGCATGTGCGGTCATAATTCGTGGCTTGAGCCATTATGTGTTTGGTGCGGCGCCACCATGGGGAGACTCTTGGAAGCTTGCACCTGGCTTTCCTCTGGACTTTGTTCCGTGTCCCCTTTCCCTTTGCTAAATTAGATTTTTACCCTTTTGCTTTGATAAATTAGTTATGAGTATAACCATACGCTGATTCCTGTGGGTTCCCCTAGCAAATCACTGAATCTGGAAAGGTTCTTGGGGGCTCCTGACACGTTGTCAACTATGTCAACCACTACAGATTCTGTCTGCCTCTCAAGGTCCCTGGAGATGATTGCAACTCACCTCTTTCACTTTTACTTCCCTTTTTATGTCCCGTTTGAGTTAAAAATCAGGAATGATCCCATAAGACAATATGAATAAAATAAATTCCCATATAAAATAGCAGCAAAATTTTACTGCCCTTATTGATTGAATGTATTGGACGCATTTATGTATTTAGTCTTCGTTTTGGTGGAGCACTGTGATTGGAACATGCCATGCATTTTCTCATTTAATCCTTACAATTCCATGGGGCGTGTAACCTTAAAATCATATATTTAAAAACAGAGAAACTGAGGCACAGGGAGGTCAAATACCTTGTCAAAATTCCACAGCTGACAAGTAGTGGAGTTGGGATATTAAGCAAGAGCTTTGTAACATCAGAGTTTTGACCTCAGTAGTACACGGGTGCCATTTCTCCTGTCCTTAGAGTTACTCTACCATCAGACTTCTGGTGTACCTCAAGCCAGTCATTATGTTCCTTGCAGATCTATGTTTTAGGGCCATTTTTTCATAAAAAAACAAACAAACAAACTCCTGAGACTGGCAGTCATAAAGAGAATATATTATGTGCATACACACCAGCAGTCCTCCGACAATCTGAGGCGTATCTGAATCATGGGGACAAATGAGTCTAGGTTGCATCAGGGACAAAATTAAGTTTTCATAAACGCATTTGAAACTTTGCAGTGTAGTTCATTAATTTCTGAACTTACTGTTGCTTGAGAGTAAAGATTAGATCTGAAACATGTCTGAATCCTTAACATGCAGTTTCTGGCACATTCAAGGTATGTAATTTTTTTTTTAAATGAGATTGGTGGATGTGACAGCTCATCTAACTATTGAAGTA